GCTAGTTTGGTGAGGAAGTCTTATGTTCTAATTTGCAATTAGCTGCTTTATTATGTGATATTGGGCAAGTTACTTAACCCCTCTGGTTATCATTTTTCTCACCTGTAAAAGGCAAAATTTGGACTAAGATGTTCTCTAACTATGGTCAACATTTATATTGCACCTTGAAGTTTTAAAAGCTCTTTAAATATGTTGTCATTTGATTCTCACAACAACCATGCAATGTAAGTGCTATTTTCTCCCTCTTGTACACAGGAGAAAACCGAGGATGAGAGAGGTTAAAGTGACTTGGCCAGAGTAACACTAGTAGTGTTTCCTCCAGTTGTAATTCTATGAAGCATTGTTTGTTGTTGTTCAGTTGTGTTTTAGTCATGTATGACTCTTTGTGATCCCATTTGGGCTTTTTTTGGGCAAAGATACTGAAGTGGTTTGTCATTTCCTTCTCCAGATCATTTTACAGATGAGGAAATTGAGGCAAAGAGGGTTGAGTAAGTCACTCAGCCTAGGGTCATGCAGCTAATAAGTGTCTGAGGCCAGATTTGAACTCATGAGGATGAGTCTTCCTGACTCCTGACTGGACACTCTATCCACTCTATCTACTGTACCACCTAGCTGCCTCACTAATAGTATTAGTCATTTTCAAATGGTTGCTTATGTCCTCCATCTCAGAAAGAGTGGTTTTCTAGGATTGCTCTTGAAAGTGTCAGCAATCACATGGACCAGCACCATGTATCATCCACTGTGTAAACCCTACAAGCCACTTGTGCCCTGGATACACACTAGATTTAAAAATGAATCTTCCTAACTTTAGGCCTGTCACCTAGCTGCCCACAAGGTACTCCAGTGACTCATAAAAAAGCCTTGACTAGAAGCCAAGATTTGTCAATGTGTGCCATCAATTTCATATGGGACATTGGAAAAATCATTTCCTGTCACTGGGCTTCAGTTTCCCCATTTATAAAACAAAGGGGTTAGACTAAATGATCTCCAAGCTTTTTTTCCGTGTGTAGCATCTTATAACTGATTAAATGGCATTTTTTCTTCTTCTGTTCTTCCTTCCTTCCTTCTTTCCTTCCTTCCTCTCTCCCTCCTTCTCTTCTTTCTTTCTTTCTTTCTTTCTTTCTTTCTTTCTTTCTTTCTTTCTTTC